AGAGGCTGGTCAGAAACATGAAACTGGAAGATGGAATACTGTATTGTAGCTGGAATGGAAGGTGTATGAGAAGGAAGAAGGTATAGATAACCTGGGAATAGAGACTGGAGCCTGGACATGAAGGGATTTACATGTCAGACAGAGGAGTTCGTATTCAGTCCTAGTTATTGAGAGAAAGAACAATAGTCTCAAGTATTCCGAATAGGGTCATAGGGCAAAAGGTTATCATGCCCTTTCTAGGACCTTTTTTAATATTAACTTGAATATTGTTTCTAAGGAAGAGATATGAAGGAGTTAGGGATACCTGTGGAAGAGGAGATGGCAAAAAGAACCTCAGTGGCTGGGCTCTGGTATCCTAGCAGCATAGCTGAATGGGATGAAGTTGGATCTGCTAGATATAGAGTGTTGAGTCTTGGTTCCACTCAGCCTCCACCAGTCAACATCCAGGGCATCTCTGCCCCAGAGCAAGTCTTAAAGCTGAGAATGAGAGGGAGGAGGGGCTGAAGGTAGGGGGAAGGACAGTGCCTCTGAAGAGTCAGAGAGTCTTTGCTCCTGATGATGGAAGGTGGGCCTAGGGCTTGCTAGGAGTAGAGAGTTAAAGAGAGTCTCAGAGAAGTAAAAGTAATTTGGTCAAAGTCACTTAGGTACCTGTAGGAGAACCTGGATTTAAACCCAGTCTTCTATCTCTAAATTCAGTGTCTCTTCCACCGTACTAAATCCTGCCTCAGGGACAGACATTCATGGTAAGTTGAGTTCAGCCATCACTAAGCAGGTGGAAAGAGGGCTGAATTATCCATTTGCCAGTGAAGAATTCTTTGGCCAGCTGTAAGGAAATCAGACTTTGCCCCTCTGTGTTTACTAAGCGTGGTTAATATTTTAATTCAATGTTCTTAGTACTTCTCCCCTAGCCTCGGTGGGAGAAACTAGTTGGCATGAACTCTGATGAGGTCGCCCTGTCCCAGCATCCTATAATTCAGCCATGGAATTTCCCAAACCACCCTCTCCATAATCAGCCTTGTAAAGGGGTTTGGCTATGCCCTTCCACTGACTCCTGGCAGTTTTGCCTTTGAATCATAGCATACAAGCGTTGGAACTTGTGTGATCACACACAAAAATGGTGTTGGAAGGGACCTTCAAGTCATGCTGTTTATTGTACCAAAGAGGAAACCAAGGCTAAGTGGCACTAGTGGCTTATAGGTAGCAGGTCTGGGATTGGAATGTAGGTCTGAATCCAAGTTCACTATACCACAATGTCTTGAATAACAACTAAAATACTAATTGGGATGTGCTGTTTGATAGGGAAGCAGGGATTGGAGATATATAGATATACACACACACACACATATATATACATATATATATACATACATATACATATATACATTCTAGACTAATAGATTTGCTCTAGTTAAAAACTCTGTTATATGTTATAGTAATAATATCATGACAGACCCACCCTGTGGATCAGACCCCAGGTCACATGTATACAGTGATATGTGAGTACCTATCACTCACTACTCCATGCCAAGCCTGTAATAGAGATGTTATCCTTGATTCCTGGACACAAAATCAATCAATCAATAACCATTTACTAAGTGCCTTACTCTGTGCCAGATACTGTGCTAAGAACTGGGCACTATAGTAATAATGTAACTCAGCTGCATGTATGTTGTCTAAATGGGAAAGCAAACTCTATTCTCTTTTCCCAAACATTCCCCCCACAAAAAAAAAGCAAGCAAAAATTTTTTTTAAAAAAGAATATACGTTAGTTTTATTCCTGTAAGATGTTCTCCTCTGGGATTTTGGGCAGGATAGGAAAACAAGTGGGGGAGGGATTGGGAAAGTGTCCAAACCTCTGATTTCATCTGGAGTGAGAAGAGTGGGAAAAATGCTGACTCTAAAATAATGAGAGGACTTAGGAGGGATGGGTTGAGGTGGATGGGGGACAACAGAATGGGAAGTGGGGACAGTAGGGGTGGGGGTGAGGGATGGAGTGCTTAGGCAGCAAAAGATCCTGCCTCACTGAGACTGAGGGAGTAATGGGTGGGAGTTTGGTAACCATGGGACCGGGATGTCTAGAGCCTTTGGACAAGGGGTCCCTGTAATTAAAAAACAGTCCTTGCTCTCAAAGAGATTACATTTTAATGAGGGAGACAACATATATGTGTGTGTGTGTGTGTGTGAGAGATACATAGTTACATAGTTATATATCTATTGTATATAATATACCTTGTATATATTATACATATTTATATGTGTATTATATGTTGTCTGTTATATACATTATGTAGACAATATATATGTCATCTCCTCCATTAGAATGTAAGCTGTTTGAGGGCAGGGATTATATATATCTATATATATGTAGATATATATATATAGATATTGTGTGTGTGTGTGTGTGTGTAACATGTAATGTAACCTACTATATATGCCTATGTGCAGGAAGAAAGGAAAAATAAGAAAGAAAGAAAGGGAAGGAAGGAAAGGAAAGGAAAGAAATCAAATATCTTCTCTCCCCCATTAGAATCTAAGTTCTTTGAGGCAAGGACTATTTTTATTTCTGCCTCCAAATTTTATATATAACATGTGCATATATGTATGTATGTATACATATATGTATATGTAAATGAGTATGTAAATACATACAAAATACAAGAAAGATAACCTCAGAAAGGAGAGCACCAGCATCTGAGTATGACCAGGAAGGGCCTCCTTGAGCTGAGTCTTCACTGGAGCCAGAGATTCTATGAGGTAGTGGTGAAGAGGGATTATGTTCAAGCCAGGGTAGACAGCCAAGGCAGAAGTGTGGAGACAGGAGATAGAATGGCATGTGTGGAGTCCAGAATGGCTGTATCTTAGAGTGAGTAGAAGGGAGTAATGTATAGGAACATTGGAAAGGCAGAGAGATGCCAGATTAGTTTGAGAATAGATGCAGTCTGTGCCTGGCATCTACCGGTTAGAGTTTCATGCCAAAGAGCATCCTACACAGATGAAATCACAGGTCCTGTTCCCTCAAAAAGAAAAAAAAAAAACCCTGGTCTGACTAGGTGATTTATATTCGTGATAAAGATACATTTCTTAAAACCCTGGACCCTTTCTCACCCTTTCACATTTCCTCACACGCCCCCAGAACAAGCTTGAAGTTAGAATGTCCATTTTCAAGGGTTTCTCAGCCATCAGCTTACATTGCAGTGTAGAAAACCCATTAGTGAGTCCATAGGGCTTTGCTTGGCAGGAGTGAAAGAACTGTTCACAAAGGCCTCTGTCTTTCCCGTGAACTATGTCTGTCACTCTCAGTGGTGTGGTGTCGGTGGGAACGGAGTGGTGGGGTTGAATAGAGAGGCGTGAGGCTCAGGGAGGGCAAAGGTTGCTCCTTTTCTTTTTTCTTCCTGCCTATGACACTGGCCCAGGGACATTCTTGGGAGCTGTGTCATGGCCATTTCTGTAAATGATTCACATGAAAGTGACCTTTAAAGAGAAAACAGCAATAACCACCGGGAAAAAAAAAAAAAAACACCACTTACTTTCAGGAGTCTCCTATCCTGGGACTGTTTGAAAGGCCCTGCATCTGAGAGTGTGGTTGTTCGGGTTGCTATCAGCCAATCAAAATGCATTTCATTCGCAGAGGGTTATTGTTTGGCTGCTGAAATCCAATCACCAAAATCCTACACAGCCATGTTTGCTCTGGTTTCATTCCCACATGCAAAATCAGTCCTTTGAGGTCATTGATTAGGTATCCTGATAAACTTCTGAAGCAGGAATGAGGTTAAGTTCAGTAACAGGAGTTCAGGAACAAGAAAGAAAGAAAGAAACTGGGGGGATTTGCTTACCTCAACTCTTCCGGCTTTTCTGTTTTTATCTCCATTGACAGTATTAAATACAACCAAAAGAGCTTTGGGTTTTTTGTTTTTGTTTTTGTTTTTGTTTTTGTCCTGGCCTGTGATTTCACTGGTTTAGGAAACTCCTACCATTGAAGAAGGGCAACCCTTCTTCATCTTATAAGTCTTCTGGGGCACTGAAAGTTTAATTTATTGGCCCAGAGTCAGTTAGGTGACATAGTGAATTAGCACTGGGCCTGGAGTCAGAAAGACCTGAGTTCAAATTTGCCCTTCTGTGCTTTCTACCTGTGTGACCCAGGGCAAGTCATTTAACCTCTGTTTGCCTGACTTTCTCAGCTGTAAAATGGGGATAATGATAGCACTCACCTTGCAAGACTGTTGTGAGGTTCAAATGAAATCATATTTGTAAAGCATCTGGCACTTTGTAGGTGCTTTAGAAATGCTTATTTCCTTCTCTTCCCTTTCCTTTCCTCTTTTTCCACAGAGTCACACAGGTGGTATGTGTAAGAAGCAGGAATTGAATCCAGGTCTTAGGATCATATTATCTTAGATTTACAGTTGAAAGGGACCTCAGGGATCATCTCTAATGGTTCTTAACCTAGGACTCCTGAACTTGTTTTTGTTTTTTATATTTTGATAAGTACTTCACCATAGTCTGTTTCCTTTGGAATCCTATATGTTTAATTTTATGCATTTAAAAACATTGTTGTGAGAAGGGGTCTTCCATGCCACCAAAAAAAAAAAAAAAGGCTAAGAACCCCTGGTCAGTCCAACCCTTTGGATTTGCAAGTTATAGCTAAGGAAACTGAGACCTAGAGATCCTAAGTGACTTGCCCAAAGTCACACAGATAGTGATCGTCAGAGCTGAGATGCAAATCCATGTCTTCTGAGCTTTCCATTGTACTACATTACCTGACTCCAAAGCTGGCTCCAGAACCAGTTTCCTACATGGCCTCTCCCCACAAAAGCTATTAGTAAGAAATTCAATGAGCTCAAATAAGTGCTTAAATTCAGTGAATAACAAGTGCCTGATGGCTCTTACTTCTCTGCTTCATAAGGCTGAAACTTTGAGTCCTCTTGCTGATCTAAAACACAGAGATGTCATGGGGTAGCTGGAGCATTGCCTTTTTGAATGCTTTTTTTTTTTTCCCCTCGTAGAAATAAAAGTGACCCTCCTCGGCGCCCCATCCTTTCATCCCTGGTCACTCTTTTTAACTATCATCAAGGAACAGTTGTAAAGGGGTCCTTTCTAATCACCATGGTGAGGATTCCGAGAACTGTTTTCACATACCTCTCTAACACCCTGAAAGAAAAGGTAAGTGAATTGTACCATGCCCCCTCCTACCCTGCCCAAGCCCTGCCTCCTGCCCTGGCCTGGTGCCAGGGGTCAGGTTACAGGAAAGTAACCAGCTGGAAAACTACAGCTGGCTCAGGGCAAGGAATCCAATCTGGGCCAGTGTCCATTCAGTGGGCTCCAATATTCTTTCAATCATTTGTTCTCACTGTGCAAGTCTTTCTCCTTCTACTTTTTGTTTGTGGATTTTGTTTGTTGGGCTTCCTCCAAACATGGGGGGGGGGGGGTTGGGGGGGGGGGGGGGAGGGGGGGAGAGAGAGAGAGAGAGAGAGAGAGAGAGAGAGAGAGAGAGAGAGATCTGGAAATGGTTTGAGTGTCTCGTCCACTTAGCAGGGTTTCTTTCTCGTTTAAATGTTTGCTACAGGAGGAAAAATAGAGGAATAAATACTCGAGATAAAATTTGAAGTGTCCCAGGGCATTTGTCTCACAGCCATTTTCAAAAATAAATAAATGAAGCATTAGGTAAAAAGGTTTACTTCTGGTTTTTATGAGAGAATATTCCCGACCTTTTCCATTTCACACAGGATGTCATGGGAAGTTGGTGGTATGTATAACAGGAATGGGCAAGCTGACCCAAATCCCTGCTCCAAACCTAAGCAAAGGACAGAAAACTATAGGGTTTTTGTTTGTGTTGCTGCCCGCCCCCACCTCCCGCCCTATCCCGCTGGTTTTTATTTCCATGCACATTTGGTTATGAATGCCAACAGAAACCAGAACACCAGGAAAACAGCTGCTCTCATGGTATTTCTGGCCCGCTGGAACAACGAAAGATTGGAAATCCCCCAAGCCAGCCTGTTCTCACACAATGTTAAGCTCTCTCCATTTGCCAGAGGGTTGGAGAAACATCCGAAGTTGAAGCTATTTAAGATCCAAACCTTTGTGTACCATTAGTGAAATGGAGAAGAGTCTACATGTATGGATGCTTCTCAAGTCCTTGGAGTTTTTTTTGTTTTTTTCTGGAGAGTGATAATTGTCCAGAAATTGCTCTGTGCTTTCTTAATAATCCATGAAAAAGCCACAAAATGAGTGCAGAAATTGGGAAACATTGATTGGATTTCACACAAAAACCTTTGGCTTCCGGATCATGAAATGCATGTTAAGTAGTTGTCATTTGAGGTGTGGAGCTGCTGGGTTCGGTGTTATTACTGTCTGAGTCTGGAGGAGCCATATTTAGATGGTTTTCGTCCCTCTCGGAGAGTCTTTTCCCTGGCCAGGACAAAACCTTGAAGATGTCTGTCCTCCTCTGAATGTCTGGCTTCTGCTTTTTTAGAAATGGTCCCTAACTCCTCCCATCCTAAGAGACCTGGAGAAAGGGACTCCTTGGAAAGAAATGAATTTTTATATAAATCAGGCAAGAGGTTTAGCTGACCCAGAGAGCAAAAAGAGCCAATCTCTGAAGGAAAGGCCTCTTATAAATCTTGGGAAGAAATTGGCAGGACAGCTCTGGGTCTCAAGCATGAAATCCTAAAGTCTACTTTATCGTCACTGAGATTCCATGGCATCATGAAGCCCAAATCCTTCCTGATCACATTATGCTTCTGAGGACCCTTAAAAAGAGGCAGCCTGACCGGTCTGTAAGGTCCTTTGGGGTAGGGACATTTGTCCTTGTATCCCCGGGTTCTTAATGTTCATTGATCAATTGATGGCAGAATGGACAGAGTGCTGACCTTATTCTCACAGGGCTTGAGTCTAGATCCCAGCTTTGTCACCTGTGTGACGCTTGTGTCAACCTCTTTGGGTCTCAGTTTCTTTATCTGTAAAATGGATGACCTCTAAAGAGCCCTTCCACCTCTACAGCCATGATCCTTTTCTAACTTCAAAAAAAAAAAGTCCTCTTCACACTAACTATGTATCGTCAACTTAGAAATTTCAGCCAGCCACCACTTGTCTGCTGCTTTAAACAGGCTAGCTTATGATCAGAGACAGGCCCAGAAGAACTCAGATATTGTTTCATCCAATTGAATTGGCTTTAGGGCCAACAAACCCTACCAACAACCAAAAATAAGTCCATATAAGGCAGGGGTCCTGCCGATGTAAGATTTCAGAGTTATTTCTGGAAATTCCTTAGCTGATTATTAACTCTGGATGTGGGTACTTCGTGTTTGACTCCTACCCCCACCCAGTAGTCTCAGTATTAAGACGTGTGAGGAATTCATATTGTCTTTAGAAAGTATGGTTTTCTTTTTTGGACTTTAACCCCCAAACCGAAATTTTTGTTTCTAATAAAATAAAACCTAAACGGGTTTTCTCTGTTTTCATATATGTGTATAGAACTGGAGGATGGGGAGTGGGAGATGGAAGGAGAGGGGAGAATGAGGAGATAAGCATGGCATAGTAGACTGAGCCAAAAATGACCTGGGTTCATGGCCTGCCTCTAACACACACTGGCGGGGCAGCTTCGTAGCGCAGTGGATAGAGCACCAGCCCTGGATTCAGGAGGACCTGAGTTCAAATCTGGCCTCAGACACATAACACTTACTAGCTGTGTGACCCTAGGCAAGTCACTTAACCCCCATTGCCCAACCAAAAACAAAAAAACACACAAATACCCACACATTAGCTATGACCATGGATAAGTTATCTAACCTTACTGGACCTCAATCTCCTATTCTCCAAAATTAAGGAGAGTTGAACTATATAGAGTATATCCCAACTCTTAAACTGTAAGTTGTAGTCAAATTGTTGATCAGCAATAGTAGAGTTTCCACACTGGGTGATTCCTACCTGATGAAATTGCTGATTCCAATCCAAAAAGGGTGTAGATCAAAGATCCATATTACTTTGGTGTTCTCACCAGAATGCTGCTTTTTCCCACGTGTTAAAGCCTTTTATAAAAATTGTGTGCTACTTGAAGAACATTTGGTAGGATCCAAGAAGAGTGATTAAAAAACAAAGTCCTAGAAAGTTGCCTGTGACACTTAGGTATTCCATGACTTGCCCAGAGTCTCTTAGCTGGTCTCTATCACTGGCAGAATTTGCATCTAGGTCTTCCTGACTCCTGAGCTGCCTCTTCCCATTTCTTAATAAGTCAAAACACTTCTTTGTGGTCATATAAGAATCACTGTATGCACAATCGTGTCCAAGCCAAAATAAACCTGTTTTCCCAATTGCCCCCTTAGCATTCTGGGGATAAACCCCATTTGTTTTTTCTCTGTTGTCTAACTTTTCTTTTCCCCTATAGGAAGAGAGCACCTGTGCAAAGTACACGCTCAAGTACTGCTCATCCTGTTTTGGGTGCCTGGACAAGTGCCTGAGCCATCTAAACCAGGTACGTTTCTCAAAAGGAGGCCCTTTCTTACACTGAGATGAAGGTTGTAGAATGTAAGCTCCTTTAAGGCCAGTTTCATTTTTGTTTTTCTATCTCCAGAACCAAGCACCGTGCCTGGCACTTAGTAGGTACTTAATATGTGCTTGTAGGGTTAAGCTTAGTTGAATGAAGTGAAAGGCAATGGAATTGGCAGTTCAGAATTGCCTTTGGCTTTAAAGTACAGTTGTCTCTTGGGTTCTGAAAGAAACGTATTTCTCTTCTCCAGCAAAGAGAACAAAAGGGAATGAATCACTCGTTTGTGAATATAGCATTTTCAGTGTCTTGTCAGAGAACTATAATTTTCCTTTAAACAGGGAGGAAATTGCCTCCCTAATTTTACACATTCCACCAATCTTCTTTCAAGATATAAATAACTTCTTTCCCCTGTAATTTATGAACATTTGCATACTACCATTGTTTAAATTTTTACTTTTTTGTCCAAAGATATTCAAATTGATGAAAAGCACAGAATCTTTGAGTTGAATTCTCTCTCTCCTCCAGAAGTATGGCCTCCCCATCATTCCCTCCCTTTCCTCATCTTCGATATCTCTTAATTCACTGACTTCTCGTATGCCCATAAGCATGCCCAGGTCTCCCTAGCCCTTAAAAACCTTTTTTTTCCTTCCATCCCCTCAAGCTATCATCCAAACTCCTAGAAATGACCATGTACAATCATTGCCTCCAAACCTACCTCCTATACAGTTAAAAAAAAAAAGTTTCATTGATGTCTTTTTTAACGTATTCCTTTCCAATGACTCTACTACCACCTCCACCATAGAACCTTCTTTTCTTTTCTTTTCTTTTTTTTTAACAAAGAAATAAATAAGCTAAACAAAACAACACTTTGGCCATGTCAGACTTCACCTGTATAGTCCATGACTTCCCTTCCAAGACAATAAGTTTCATTGATGTATTAAACTCTAAAGTAAAGATTGGTCATTGCACTGGTCAGAATGTTGATGTCTCTGAGTGTTTTCTTTTACATTAGTGGGAGTCTGTAAGTTATTTTTTTAAAAAAGCATGATTATTGTGTAAGTTGTTCTCTTCGTTCTGCTTACTTCATTCTGCATCAGTTCATGCATATCTCAAGTTTCTCAGAATTCTTCATATTTGACATTTCATATAGCACAATAATATCCCATCATGTTCCTATACCAAAGTTTATTCAGCTGTTACTCAATATGTGGTACTTTTCTCTCTGTCTTTGACCTCTTTGGGGCATAATCCCAGAAGTGGTTCACTGATCCAAAGGTGCTGTACTATATAATAACATTTCTATTATAATTGCAAAATTATGTTCCAGAATAGTTGTCCCAACTCACAGTTCTACCGTCAGTACATTAATGTGCCTGTCCCCACAGTCCCTCCACCCGTCACTATTTTCACCTCTCGTTATCTCTACCAATCTGATCTTTAACAGCTTGTTTTAATTTACATTGATCTTATTATTAGAGATTCAGAGCATTCTTTTATATGGTGATTGCTCCTTTGCATTTTTTCTTTTGCGTATTTGACTACTTAGCTATCTGGACACTCACTGATCAGCCTTTTGCAATCTGGCTTCCAGCCCCACCATTCAATTGAAACTTCACTTTTTAGGTTGCCATTGATCTCTTAACTGCTAAATCCAGGGGCCTACTCTTAGCCTTTGCTTTGACATCTCTGTACCTTTAATAATGGTGATCTCTCTCTCTCTCTCCCTCCCTCCCTCCCTCCTTCTGTCACCCAAAAGTCTTGTTAAACTGCCTTAAGATTTTTGGGGCACCATATATGTAGATGTAGATATACATATATTTATTAAAAATTTATCTGTGAGGGCAGCTAAATGGCACAGTGGATAGAGCACTAGCCCTGAAGTCAGGACGACCTGAATTCAAATTCGGTCTCAGACCAGACACTTGACACTTACTAGCTGTGTGACCCTGGGCAAGTTATTTAACCCCAGTTGCCTCTCAAAACACAAACAAAAAATTTATCTGTGTAGATATTTCATCCTTCTCGGTAGACAGTAAGCTTTTTGAGGGCAAGGACTGAATTGTTTCTGTCTTTGTATTCACAGCACCTACTACTGTACCTGGCACATCATAGGTATTTTATAAATGAATGGATTGTACAGTAGAAAGAGCAATGGGTTAGGAACTAGGAAACTTAATTTTTTAATCCCACCTCTACCACTAACTAGCTGTGTGGCCTTAGACAATTTATAATTTATCTCACCTGTCTTGGCTTCGGCACTGGTAAGAACCATTTTTTCATCTGTAAAATATGTAGGGAGAGGGGAGAAGTCAGACCAAATCTCATAGGTCCCTTCCACCTCCAGTATTTAGTGGCTATATAGGTATTCACTGACCATGTTGTATTGGGTACATTGTCCCTGCCCTTAGGGAATTTGCAGTCTAGGTCAGGTGCTGTGACAGAACCACATACAACCTTTAAATCATCATGTAAGACAGCAAATGTCAGATATTGAAATAAATGGTACAGATAAGTCCTAAGATATTTCAGAAAAGGGAAGGAATCAGTGCAAGCTGCAGGGATCAGGGAAAGCTTCTTAGAGAGGGGAAGGAGGGAGTTGTGAAAGGAAATCCCTCTAACTGATCTACAACTTAGTAACTAAGCCTTAGAGAGTTTCCTGAGGCTCAGTGACTTGTTCATGGTCACACAGCTACTGAGTGTCAGTGGCAAGGTTTGAACGTAGATGGTGCAGTGGATAGAGCGCAAGGTCTGAAGTCAGGAAGACTTCAAGAGTTCAAATCCAGCCTCAGATACGTACTAGCTGTGTGACCCTGGGCAAGTAAGTTACCCCGTTTGTCTCGGTTTCCTCATCTATAAAAAGAGTTGGAGAAGGAAATGAAAAACCATTCCAATATCTTTGCCAAGAAAACCCCAAGTTGGGTCATGAACAGTTAAACACGACTAAAGTGCTCAACAGCAACAACTTTTCCTGACAGGAAAGCGATCTGTCCATTCCCTGATATTGCTACTTGTGCTTATACCAGTGACTAATTATAATAATTATATAGTCCTTTAAGGTTTGCAAAAGGCTTTCCATACATTATCATATTTCATCCTCACAACAACCCTATAAGTAAGTGCTATTATTATCTCCATTTTTTTTACAGATGAGGAAACTGAGGCTAAAAGAGTCATATAGCTAATAAATGCCTGAGGAGGGATTTGTTGAACTCAGGTCTTCATGACTCCAAGTCTAGCACTCTATTGGCTATGCCAGGCTTCCTCTTAATCAGTCCTTAATGTATAGGTTGGTTGGTTTGTTTTTTAACACCTCTGAAAGAAGACACAGCCTCCCCCTTTCTTTATTATCCAGTCTACCCAAATCCACCTCCCACAAGTCAGCAAAGCTTCTGGAACATCCTGCTTGGCCAACTGTGTTCCCCTTGTACAACCCCAAATCCTAAATCAGTTAATCAACAAGCATTTGTGAAATGCCTGCTGTGTGTTGGACACCACTAAGAGCTGGGGATGAAATATAAAAGATAGTTCCTGCCCTCAAGGAGCTTACATTCTGCTGGGGAAGCAAACATGTTCATGGGTAAATATGGGACATATTATACACACGCACATGCACAAGCACACATACATATATATCTTAATCTATTTTTTTAAAGTGCTTTGCTATGTTGACTTAGTGGATAAGTATACAATTTTTGCCCTAAGTATCCATATTATCTATTCACCGTAAGGAAGGCAAGGCAAGGCAAAAATAATTTATTTAATTATTTATTTTATTAATTATTTATTTTATTAATTTAAATTTATAATTTATTTAATTTATATAATGATACAGAGCCAGCTGGGATGGTACTCTTTTTGATGACTGTAACGAAGATACGTCATGTTATTTTAGTGGTGAGGAGCAGGGAAAAAAATGTGACAAGTTTAACTTTCCATTTTTTTTTTATTTTGACAGTATAATTCTAACGAATGGCCAAGTGTGTAGTACTAGGTTCAAGACAGCATTGTATAATGGTCAGGTTGCTGAAATTGAAGTTAGAAGAGACCTGTGTTCAAATGTTGCCTCCAGCAGTTACCATGTAACCACAAGCAAGGCACATAGCTTTGCCAAGTTTCAGCTGCCTCATATGTAAAATGGGAATAATAATGACATTCCCTAAATAAGGAAGTACCTCCTTCATAAAGCAAATATAAGGATCAAATACAAATCTTAAAACATTATATAAATATCAGTTATTTCTAATAATAATAATATTTCTGTTATTTCTAATAATTGCTTCTAATAATAATAACTGACTTTTTAGGACTATAGATTTTAAGCTAGAAGGGACCTTAGAGGCTACTGAGTCCAACCCTGTAATTTTACAGATGAGGAAAACTGCAGCATAGAAAGGTTGTAACTTGCAAGCCCAGGGTCACACAGGTAGTATCTGAGGTGAGATTTGAACCCAGGTCTTCCTGACTCCAACTCCAGTACTCTCTCTGTTATGCCACAGTTTCTAGTACTTTATTCTGACCAGAGCATTGTAGGATTGTTTCTACTGTTGTTATTGTTGGCTTGGTCCTATGAGAGACAATATGGTGTAGCAGACAAGGAGCTGACCTCCAAGTCAGAAAGCCCTGGGTTCAAGTCCTGTCTCTGACACATCCTGGCTGTGTGACCCTGGGTAACTCTCTTTACCTCTTTGAGCCCTAGACAACTCTCTAAGACTATAAAGCTGCGAAAAAAACAATTGGCGATTTACGTTGGTAAAGGGAGTTTATATATCTGAAACCACAGGTTATTGTTATTATTATCGTATTAATAATAGGGAAGTACCTATATAATAGAGAAGTGTCTTCTTCATAAAGTTGCGTTAAGAATCAAATGCTTACCTTATTTTAAGCTGTGTGTGTATATATGGATGTATATATACACATATATGTATATTGTGTACATATATACATATTCAGACATATGTGTGTATGTATTAGGTATAATTATA